AGCAGCGGTTCTGCAGGGCTCTCAGAGGCCGGCCCTGAGCCCCCGCCTCCTCCTTCTCAGCCTCCTCTTCTCCAGTCTCTATACCAGGAGGTCGTAGATGCTTCTCAGCCAACTCTGGAGGCTCTGGCTTCTGAGTTTGAGCCTCTGGGTCCCTGGGGGTCCATTCTCGAGCCTTCCCAGAGTTCAGGGTCCATTTCCACCCTTCTGTGGGCCTCAAGCCCCTCTCCCCATCCTCCACGAGGCTGGGACTCTGTTCTGCTGCCTCCACTCCTCCGGAGCTTTTGTCTTGAGCCTCCCTTGTCGGGGTCTCTGACAGCCCTGTAATGTCTTCTGGGATCATCCCTGGAATTGGCCTCTCTTCTTTTCTCCCACATTCCTCCAAGTAGTCTTTTCTTTCTTCTCCTGACCTCAGCCTCCACTCTGTTGACTCCAGTTGTACCAAACTCTGTTCCTGAGACTCTCTGGAGTCAGGCCTCCACTTATGGGCCTCTGTCAGGCCCAACCTCTGGTTGTCAGATTCCCCTGGGCTCAGTCTACTTTCTGCCATCTCTTTTCTCCTGGGGCTTGGTTCTCGAGGTTCTGCCAGTCTCAGACTCCGCTCTGGGGTTTCTCCAGGGCTCAGCCTCCATTTCCGTGTCTCCGACAGACGGGAGGTCCTGTCTTCCCCCTCTCCTGGGCTCTGCCTCCAGTCCCGAGCCTCCACTGGCCTGGGGCTCAACTCTTGGGCTCCCCCTATGCCCAGCCTCCTCTCTCTGGTCTCCCTGGGACTTAGCCTGTCTTCTCTTGACTCTCTTCCCTTAGGGCTGTGATCCCGCATCTCCCCAGGGCTGGATCTCCGCTCCCGGGCCTCCAGAGACCCAGACTTTCTCTCCACAAGCAGCTCTTCATTCCGTTGCTGCTGCTGCTGCTGCTGCTGCCGCTCTTGCCGGATGAATCGGTTCTGGTGCACTGGTCCAATGGCCTCCAGAAGGACAGCAGACTCATCTGGGTCTGGAGGCCCAGTCTCTGCAGTCCCAGGGACGTGGCTAGGCTCCCCAGGGGACAGCCCAAGCTTGGCCCGGCGTCGCTCCAGAAGCCCCCGTTTCCAGGCTGGCATCTGGGACAAGCGTTCTCGCTCTGCCTTCTCCCGGCCACGAACGGATGCCTCCTCCTGCCGGCGCCGGGCTAGCAGCTGTAGCTTCCAGTCTGGGATGGTGGCCATGGTTGCCTTGAGGTGAGGGTAGGGAGCACTGGGGGCAGAGAACAGGAAGGAGAGGCTCCAGAGAGGCCCAGGGGATGAGACTGGGGGTGGAAGGAGAGGAAGTAGAGGGGAGAGGTGGGACACAGAAAAGGGCAGAGGAGCTGAGGAGGAGGACAGAGGAAAAGAGGGTAGGAGGGAGGGCAGAGAGAGGGGGAAACGGAAAAAGTGCAGAGAGACTGTGAGCCAAGTTGGGAGTGGGAGGGTGACGGCAGAGGAAGAGTTGAGATTCAGCACAGTGAGGGCAGCAGCCAGATTTGGCAGTTCAGGGTGAATGGGTATTCAAGATAGCCCCAGGATGTGAGAAAGAGAGAGGAGGGCGAAAAGTGAAACTGGCGCGAGAGAGAAGAGAGGAAAGCGGGCTGGGGCGAGGGGGACCGGGTGCAGGCAAGGCTGCCTCCCGACACCCCGGGGCGGCCCAGGGGAGGCCAGCGTGGGAAGGAAGGGCAAGGA